TGTTGCTTCGATAACCTTGTCGTTGGCTATTTTCACTAGTACTGGCGCATCTAATTTTTCAAGTTTTGAAAAATATTTCAGTTGATTGGTCATGTGCAAGCTTGCACCTGAATCGCAAAGCCATTCTTGCGCATCACTTTCAGAGCTTGCAGAATAAAAACTTGACAAGTCACAAATATAAGCAGTATTTGGCTTACTTGAATTTCTGTTTTTATTTTTCTTTGCGTCATCTATTCGTGATCTGCATTCCCGCTCCCAATGTCCTTTCTTCTTGCAGTAATTGCAGTTGGTGTTTCTCTTAATTTCACTTATTGACTTTTTCTTGTTGCTTTTAAGTGATTGTTCATCGAGTTTTGTTCACCTGAAGTGCCAAGCGGGTAGTTTCGTCACTCTTGATTCTTCTTTCAAAAGTCGAGCTGTTAGATTCATGAAGGTCTGATCACTCACAGTTACAGAATCCCATGCAGTTCTGAAGGCATTAAACTTTTGAGGCAAGCTGTTTATTACCTTTGAACAAATTGCACTCTCACTCAAGGACTCTTTTATATCTCGCAAATTTTTGACCATGCTTTCTCTTTTGGAGAGTTGTGCTGCTATTGAGTCGCCAACAACCATTCTATAGTCATAGAATTTCTGCCAGAGTAGTTCTTTTGAAACTTCGGTCTTCTGCTCATGGACTGCTAAGAGTTTTTGCCACATTTCATCTGCATTTTCCCAATTTACCAGACATTCTAGTTGGTTTGGAGAAATGGTGGTAAGTAGAATTATTTGCGCTTTTGAATTATTTTCTTCCCATTTTGCCAATTCAGCAAGCGCTGAATCTTGTGGTTGGGGGACACTTCCATCCACGATGCCCAAGAGCTTTTCCGCTTTCAATACGTTGCTCACGCTAAATTTCCATAGCTGAAAATTTGTGCCGTCGAACTTTACTAACTCTGATGATTTTGCTGACACTGACGCCATTTTTCACTTCGACTATTCTTCAACAGTTATCACTTTACTCACGCACTACTGAAATGTCTACACAATTTCTAGTGTTTGGTGTCCTGCGCCCATAACCTGTTGGTGAAGTAAAGTGGACACACTCTTAATGTATGAATAAAAGTATATTGATAAATGATAAAGAACAACACAGTACAAAAGTAGATTTGCGAACACGAGAACGATTCTGTATCAGCAGCGATTTGACGACGACTAACTAAAAAGTTGCTCTCGCGATGAACAAAAATTATGCTGCCTAAGCAATATGGCTTTGTGCTACACTGTGGTCCATAATACATATGGCTGAACTTATATTGATATTAAAAGCATTTTGATTATAGTCTTATTCTAACAAAACCCTTCTAGAGGCTTACAAAAGTGCGGCTTGTCACTGACGAGGTGTTTTTGCGCCCTGGGGGTAACAATGCAAGCGACAAAGCTGAGTTGTTGAAACGCTGATTGAAGTGAGTGAGCAACAATCATTATGGTGAAGTTCAATGGTCCAAGTTATGCAGTAATACGAATGTTTATTTCGAGCATAAATGATACTTCTATTCGTGTAAAACCGACGGTCCCCAGTTGCAGGTATTTATATAGGGCGCCAATGACCTCTCCGTCGTATTTATGCAGGCAATACGTGTTTTTCACTTGTAAAATGCGTACACAATCCGGAGTCTGTAAAAATAACTACGGCCTGGCGATAATTAGCAACGTGATTGCGACGTCGCTTTACTGGCCGCCAAAATAACACTCCGACCCCATGCTCTGACTGTTTTTTTCTCTTTCTGGATTGCGCAATCGATCTCACCTGCCCCAGCTGAATCAACCAATTCGGAAATACTTTCGAACGTTGGATCGCCGATATTTTTAGATATGAATTAGGCTTGAATCACACTGTGTTGTGTGGCACTGTTGAGTTGACGCCGCCCTGTGCGCCAATGCGCTATAACACCACGCACGCGTCTTACTTAAATTTAAAGATGGCACGTCGCGGATCACTCTTGATACATACTTGGCAAACTAACGATTTTGTTTCTAAAACCCTTTAAATCCGGATTGCCTTCGATGAAACTTGTTCTGAACGGCAACAAAGCGCTGCTGCCAACCCAAATTGCGCCCTTTCTCAGCAAAGCGATTTACTTATATCTCTTACACACTTACACACTTTTCCAAAGGCTCCACGCTAAATGTAAGAAACGTATTATTGCCAAGTCTGGCAACAAGCACTTTT